GTTTCTATTAGAGATCTATCGCGTTTGTGACGAATACTTAATTGAAAGCCTACTTCGTCTTTAAAGAAACAATTATTACCATTATCAACTGAAATAAGTTTAAGGAAAATGTTTACATACATCTTTCACGACTAAATTGTTTCTGCGCTCCGGAATTAGAGGCATTCTTTTAAGTGAAAAATGAAACTCAATAATTCTTCGTTCTTTCGTTTTGAGAGATACCATAACAGAAAACTCTTAAAAAACAATTTTTTTGTGACGTAAGGACGAGTAGCATCTATGTGCAATTAAAATATTAAAAAATCTTCATGATTCACATCTCAATTTTATTACGATTCCCTTTTGTTTATTAGCGAGAGAAGATCATGTTTTCTTATAATTTCTTAAAGAGTCAATAATTTCAGAAAAAATGATTAGTGTAATCAGAGTTCGAGAAATCATCTTCGTATTTTAAAATCAAGAGACTTTGAATGTTTTCTGATATTTGTACCTACTTTTTTTTGAATTTCAAATTGATTGACAAAACAAAGATCAATGTGTCATACGTCAAAATGAAAATTTTCTTGTTAAAGGATTTAATGGTTTAAGTTTATTGTTTTGACCACAGGGGTTAAAAAATAAAAAAAAACAGAATAATTACATTGTTGTAATTAAATCAACAAATTATGTCTTTAAAATTGTAGTGTTTTTTTGATATACATTTATTTTCTTGACACACTTGTTGCTGACAGAGGGATAAATAGTTAAAATATGTTGAATAACAAAAAAAAGGCCTAGAGGCGTTTTTTTTTCGTAATACCCCTGTCAGGCCTTTTTTTTCGTTGATCCAATTTTTGTTTTGCATCATTGTATTTTATAATTCTTTTTTTTAGATTTGTATAAGTTCGCTCGTTAAGACTACTTGTAATAATAAGTCGTATTGAAAAATAGTCTATAACGATTATTTGTTGTAATGAGAAACTGGCAAAAATTCTTTCTGAAAACAAGTATTCTGATATGGTTGTGAATTATCATTTCCACAGTGAGAAATAAACAATAAAAATTTATGACATGTGGAAATGGTTGTTATTGCTTGTTGAATGAAATTTCTTAATCTAATCAAAAATTGACTTTTCTTTCGTTTGTTATTATTTCGAGTTTACTAAAATACAATTATTTTACTCTTGTGTACATTGTATTATGGTCTTCAAAATGTTTTAAAGATTCTGATAAAGAGGTTGATAGCTCATCGGAGATTTGTGAAAACTATTATTTTGAGTTTCATAATCGAACTTTTTAAGTGTAAAATTTGTCTCTTCAGAAGTTGTGCTGCTTTCAGAAGCCGTATCTTGTGAATTTTGCAAACTATCGTTTTGCGTCATTTACTTTGACGGGGTTGATTTTTAGAAAGAAGATAGTGAAAAAATTTTTTGGAATTATCATTATGTATAAAGTGTCACCATCCAATAGCAGGTCCCCGACATTGGGCGGTGACTTAATATAAAAAGAAGGATGAATGAGAGTTGAGAAAAGTCCAAAAAGAATGAAATATAATTTAAATAACGATAAATTCTATTTATACAAATAATCTATTTATTTGAAGGTCATTTTTTCAACTTAAGTATTTCTGGAATAAAATAACTCAGAATCAGGTATTATAATCTACGTTGAAATGAACTACAAGAGGTTGAAATTATCAAGTAGGGGGTGTCTATAAAGATGATGTCTTTGAAAAAGCAAAGGAAAGAGTTTGAAATCTTTCAAAACTTTTTATTTTGGATGAAAATTTTCTGTACAAATCAAAAACGCGAAAGGATATAAAGTAAGGTTCTTCTGTATAGAGGAAGCAGAAAACAAATCTTTATATTTAACCGATTTGCACAATCAAAAGCATTTTTGGCGAGATTGATTTTTTGATAATGCCAGACTGCTTGTCTATAATGTTACCAGAATATAAGCCGCGGGAATAGTTCTTAAATGCGTAAATTGTCAGTCAAAAAGGCACATGGCAACAAAACGTCCAATAATTGCAAAACATCCAAGAGAAAGATATATTGCTTATTTGATTAATTTATCGGCATATAAAAATCAAGATTGTGAGTTTTCTTGGATTCTTGTTCGGATCCATCTACCAAATTTGACATTGCAAAACCACTTAAATCAAATTCTGCCAACGATGTCGCCTCCGCTTTTACCGAATTTTTCACAACTTTTTGGCCACTAATCTAACTCCACACAGGCAATAGAGCAGAATTCAAAAATGGCACATTAGAATCAATTTTGCATAAGTATGACATTAAGTAAATCCATCAGAGACAAAGATATCCATGGATACAAGGCCAAGTTAAACGATTTTACCTATCGATAAAAAGATGTTAATATTCGATAGGTTCAACAAATTCTGAGCTAGGCAAATGGCAAATTTACTTAAATTATGTCATATTTTCTCATAATAATACGGTACATTCAACTACAAAGCAAATTACAACAAAGCTCTTTTTGGAAACCGTCTATCCCAGAAAAGTAAATGATAAACTCGTTTCCTCATTATTCACTTTTGATCTAGAACTAGCAGATGAAGTTGAAACTGCGCACAAATCAGCAACAGTTAATACGTCTATTACCGCTGAAATCATGGCACAAAAAAGACGTTGGAAATATGATATTGAACATTTCAATATAAATGATCTTGTCATAATAGGGAATAACGTTGATAATAATCAAAAAACTAAAAGAAGACCACTTTACGATCATATTTGACTCGAAAAATATCGAATAATTTCGATTTATTCAATCTTGTCAATGATGAAAGCATCGAACAACATAATATCCATGTTTGAGATTGAGAAAAACTTATTAAGTAAATTTGTTGTCGGCCTTGGAAGATACATCGGTATCTTTTTATTAAAAGATTGTTTTGTCATTTCAACTGTTACTTTATTTATTTAACGGCTATTTATACTTTTATACTAATATATCAATTATGATAAATCAGTAATTTATCAGTGATTATGTGGGAGTAAACAAAGATATTACTCTGCCTACAACACTACCCCCTCTTCAAAAAGAAATTAAGATTCATTATCTTGTTCAATAGGATCAATATCCCTCCTATTTATTTTAAAAGTATTTCCGTCAAGACATCGAATCCAATAGCAACCTTTTCCATTATTTTTAATAATCCAAAATGGCACACTCCAAGAAGATTCAAATTTAGAACCCATTTCATACGCAAATTTTCTCTTTCTCACCAATTGACCTTCTTTCAAATCATCAGGTAAATCTTTCTTTGGCAAATCTGCCATTTCCTTTTCCCTTTTCTTAATTGTCTCATTTATCAATTTGTTTCTGATCTTATCCAATTCTCCAATAGACTTATCACTTATCATCACATTGGTCAAGTTATCTAATGAAAAATCATACGGCTCTCGGCTATACAGCAAATTAAGAGGTGAAGCCCCTAATCTTGATATATTGCATATGTTATAACTGTAAAGTGCAGTATTAACCATATTAGACCAGTTTTCTATATCATCATAAACAAATTTTGCCAATTTATTTATAAAAGATTGATTGAATCTCTCTACTGCTCCATTACATTGGGACTGCAAGCTGAAACACTTGAATGCTCAGTTTTCATCTTGTTACAAAGTGATTTTACCAAATCATTAAGAAATTCTGTTCCCTGATCTGAAATTAATTTACGAGGTGGGCCATGTCGCAAGAAAATATTTTCAAAAATAAAACAAACTATTTCTTCCTTTCTTTTTGTTTGTAAGGGACGCGCTTCTGTCCATCGAGTAGTGTAATCCGTAGCAACAATTATGTATCTAAAACCATTTTCACTTTTACGAAGAGGTCCAATCAAATCTATCACTATCTTGGAAAAAGGACCTTTAAGCTCAGCCGTATAGGATTGAAAATTCCCTTTATCCTCCCTGTAATTGCGGAAAAAAGTACAAGATTTAATAAAATTGTTTACATCATTTTTCATACCAATCCATGTTGTGTAATTTTTGATATATTCTAACGTAACATCCCAACCAGCATGCCCCGTCATACTATGAGCATGAAACATAATCTCAAATTTTTTCTAAATATTGATTTCAATATCTTTATTTTAAGTTTTAATCATTTTAATCAAAGATTCTTTTACTACCCTTCTAGAAAGAGGATCAGCCACAATATTGTTGCTTCCTTTTACATACTCAAATTTAAAATCAAAATTACTAAATTTCATAATCCAGCGAGCTAGACGGCCTTTCGGTTCTTTCAATTCTAAAAGCCATTTCAAGGCATGGTGGTCATTTCTAATTGTAAACGATGAATGTAAAAAATATTTAAATTTTTCTACTGCCCATATAACAGACAGACACTCTTTCTCGGTGACAGAGTAATTCAACTCTCTAAGAAGAAACCGTTTAGAGGCCCATTGAACTATCTCTAAATTTCCATGATTATCTTGAACCAATGCTGCGCTCATGCCAATTTGAGAAGCATCCGTATAAATGATGAATGGCTTCTGAAGATCAGGCAGTATTAATGGTTCATTACCCATCACATCTGTTTTAATCATATCTAAAGAATACCTCGCTTCATCAGTGAAAATGAATTTTTTCTCATTCTTTAATAATCTATAAAGAGATTTCATCGTCATGCTAAAATTAGGGATAAAATTTCGTAAGTATCCTAGGAACCCAAGCTGACTCTGAAAATCTTTCCGATTTTTTTGTTCCTTTATTCCAATAGTATCATTTATATGTTTATTTGTTATCCACATTTTCCCATTACCTATCATAAATCCTAGAAAACGCACTTGACTTTTCAAAATTCACATTTTTTAAGATTGATTTTTAATACTACTTTATGAAGTCTATTTAATACCCATTTAGTGTGTTCAAGATTTTCTTCAATTGTTCTAGAAAATATGCAGATATCATCAATATAGGCCAATAAAAAAACATTTATGGCTTCTTTCAATACTCTATGGACAATCCTCTGAGAAGTGAATGGTGCGTTTTTTAATCAAATGGCATTACCTTCCATTGAAAACAACCATCCTGAGTTATAAATCCAGTCTTATGCTGATCTTCTTCTTTCATCTCAATCTGATGATTTGCCGATTCCAGATCGATCTTAGTAAACACAGTTGCATGTTTCAAAGAATTGAGTATATCTTGCATATGAGAGATCGGAAATTCCTGTTTGATAGTATTTAAATTTAAAGCTCGATAATCAATGCAAAATCTCAGAGAACCATTCTTTTTAGAAACTAAAACAACAGGAGACATATATGGACCATCATTTCCAATTATTTTTCCCTCATCTAACAACTTTGAACCTTTTGTTTTACAATTTCTCTTTTTTTGATATTCTTACGGTATGGGTTAGAACAAATTATTTTACTTTCATCGTTTAAGGCAATTCCATGTTTTTCATCAATTTGTGAAACGCCTTTTTTTACATCCAATGCTTTGGTCTCTTCCTAAACTTGAATTATTCTTTCATCAATATTCGATAAATCATTTTTTTCAACAAAAGATTTTTTATCGCGAATTATTTCTGATGTTTTAACTGAGATTTCCTTCGGGCTTAACATTTGAAATCCTAATTCATTTGTAGTAACCTCTGGTTCAAATGCAATATTAAGTTCTCGACAAGTATCATAACCTAAAATAATTTCATCAGGTCTTAAGGAATTCAATACAAAAAATTTGATATCCTTTTCAACATTCGGAGTCTTCACCATCACCAATACTTGTTTTTCTATTTTCTGAGTGCCCCCTGCAGTCTTACATATGACGTTTACTTTTTCCTGAGATAAATTCAATTCATTCACAGTAAAGTCTGACATGTAACAATCCGTCGCACCAGAATCAACCAGACACAATTTTGAAGTATTGTTCAACAAAACATTAAAATGTGGGCGACTGTCAAGAGTTTTATCGATCAGCATATTCTTCATTTAAGTAGTTTTAGTCTGTTTCTGTATTTCAACTGCCGACTTTGCTTTCATTTGGCTCAGTTTCAAACAATCTGTCCTATAATGGGTTTCTCCGCAATGAAAACATGTGATATGTTTTGGAACTGATTTTGTGATTATCTTATATTGGGTAAGCTTCTATCATTATGTGTTGAGTGAACCTACATTTTTCTTTCTTTTCGTTGATATTTTTTAATTGTTTTTTTGTTAGAGACCTTGTACGCAATTACATTCGTATAGATTGGTCTCGCTTATACCGTCTGTCAAGATTTCGTGCTGATTTAATAATATCATTCTAAGTATTACATTTTCCTAGCTGATCACTATATTCGCTGAGGAGTGTTCTGTCGAAATTGAAATCATATCTTTTTAAGACATTCCAATTTTATTTTTTGAAGAGAATAAGAAACATAAAACATCTTCCAATTGACCAGGTCTCAGTCCTCTATTGATAATTGTCATACATTTTTGTAAAACATCTTTCTCATCCTGATCTCCAAACAAATCATGTATATCAAACGACAAATCCTACCAGTTTTTATAATTCTCTGAAGTAATCCACAAAAATCACCTGTTCACATTTCCAGTGGTGCATTTTCTAAGAATTTTAATCATTTCATCAATTGTCTTTCATTCATTTATTCCGTTAAACTGCTCCAAAAATTGAGTTATCATAAAATCTGCTTTACCAGGATATGATTTATATATTTTGTCGTCAAGTGAAGATAATCCAAAGAGTCCTAATCTTTTAAAGACATCCGCTTGTTCCGTGTTTGTCACTTCATTCTCCATTTGTTTGTTTTCATTGCGGTTGACGCCAGTGTTTTCGACCTGGGAAGATGCCGATATCTTTTTAAAAAAAGATTGTTTTGCCATATCAACAGTTTCTTTATTTATTCAACGGCTATTTATACTTTTATACTAATATATCAATTGTGATAAATTAGTAATTTTTAGTGATTATGTGGGAGTAAACAACGATATTACTCAGCCTACAACAAAATTTATTTCAAAATTTTTTTTCAGATATTTGCAAATAAAAACTTTTTTTAAAAAAGCCGCCAAAAATCACGCGGTAAATTTTTGAGGGAATTTTCATGTATAAATAAAAAAAAAATCGACACCCCTTGAAAAATTTGAGGAGTTTTTTTTCATCAAAGCTTTGAATTTTATTTTCATTGATGTTGAAAAATTCAATTTTAAAATTTTAATATGTATTTAGGTAACCATTCTAACCGCTCGGACCACCACTAAACGGTGACATAATGTTCTAGAAAAAGTGAATTTCAAAATAAAATCTTTCTTCATCCAATTGTTTTTTTCGATGGGGTGATGTCATTTTCAATGCAGTGTCTCAATGGACAGTGTCTATTGAATTAAATTTTGAAAAAAAGTTCAACCATTACTGGAATTTGAATTTATTTTCCTGGAGTGTCTATTCTATAACAGACAAGTTTTTACGGCCAGTGTCTACATAGATAGTTTCCATTGAATATGATTTTAATAAAAAAAATTTCAACTCTTACCCCAAAATTCACTTTTTTTTTCGTAGTGGTATCAAAAACGTCTTCTGGTGGCACTGTATCACAGAATAAAGCATTTTTTTCATTTGTGACACTGAAAATGTTTTACAAAGTGGGATTTTTGTAATGATTTTTTCAAAAAGTTCTTGCGATTTAGATGTAGTAGACTCAGGGGATTTGGTTTTGGAAATATGATTCTGGGTTTTTATATTAAATTTTTTTTTAGCTCTGATTCTGGTTTATTCGTGTTATTTTGTCTATTTGTAGATGTCGCATCATTGTGTTCTTGCAAAATATAAACTCACCATTTTGTTGAATAGAATCAATGCTCGGCACTGTATCCCCAGAATATAAAATTTTTTTCAGTTGAGCAACTGAAAAAGTTTTGCCGAGGGGTATTTTTTTTGATTTTTTGAATGAGTTCTTCAGATTGGAGAGTAATTGACTCAAGGGGTCCTGGAAGAATGTATCGAATTTTCTTTTTTGATTGATCAATACCACCTTCAAAACAAGAACTCTCCTTTTCTTTTGAAATTTGATTTTTTAAATTATCCTCTTCCATCTCTGCAAAGAACTGTAAGTTTGTAGAAGAAACTAAAAAATGTATAAGAAATTTGTTTTTCTGGGATTTTTCTGTAATTATTTTTTTTAAAATTTTTTGCTTTTTATTTAGGGGAGTAAAAATTATATGGTTGGGAATTCCTGAGTTCCTCTCCATTATTTAAAGAATATCTATATCTTAAAAATAAACTAAGAAAAACATGAACAAACTTTATTTTCTGTTTTCCTTTTATATTTGTCAAATATGAAAAGGAGTCAAATGATCTACTACTAAGATTGTGGGATAATCAACCAGACAGAAATCCACAAATGATTTCTGAAAGATTCTATTACAAAATGTAAGATAGATCAAAAGTTGATCTGTCATTGGTTCAAAGACAAAGATAAAGATTATCAAAGTTCAAGCAAAGGAGAAACTATGATATCAAAATGATCATCAGGACGATCAACCAATTGACATGCTTCAAAGCATCGAATCATGTTTTCAAAAGGAGAAACATGATTATCAAAAAAGGGATCATCATCGATAGGGATCAGCAAATGGACCTATGTCCAACATATATGATAAAGGATCAAAAAAATTTTTTAATAAGAACGTTGTGACAAGGGGTTGCAAATTAGACAAAAACGATTTATTTGAAAATATGTGAGAAGAGTACAAGCTATTTTCATGATTTACATTTCTAGCAGTTGCACAGAAAACTCATAATTATTTCAACTATTTGAGATTTGTTTTTATGAACTAAAAAATTATAATTCAGTTGTTGTAAAAGAAAAAAGTTCAAAACAAAAATAATTAAACGTATCAGTAGATCGTCAGCAACTCCGCAAAAATTGAATAAAAGAAAATAGGTGTGAGACACCAGTTTTATTCATTAAGAATTTCAAATCAACCTGTGTAGAAGCACTACACAAAATATCGTGTTATGTATTTTCATGTTTTTTTTGTTGGTATGATTTACAAATACATTTTTTTAGATTAGAAATTGTTTTTATCGATGAATTATGATTATGTATCAAAATCATAGGATAGGATTATTGTAACTATTTTTGTGCTTATACAAGTTAGTAATTTGTGCGGAATTGTTTGCTCTATGTTCGGAATGTCATTCAATACAAGTTTTTCTATTTGACAAGGATTTTTGAAGGTGATTATCTGTGACACATTTCTTTCACGTAAGCTATATACCATAAAATGTTTCCCAAAACAATCTTGAATGTCATGTGTGCTTATATCATATATTTATTTGTTTGTGTTTCCGTGTTCTTCAAGATAGAGTTCTCGAATCAAATTTAGATAATGAGGAAGTATAACTATATTATATGATTGGAGATATATTTGTGCTATAGTGAATGCTGATATATTATCTGGATTCCATTTTCTTGTTATAGATATACAGTTTGAAGAAATATCAAGATTTTGTAGCTTCTTTTTGATTCGTTTCGCTAATCCTGAAATAGAACACCGTGTTCTAGCACCAAGGAAGCTAAAACGGATATCATCATACAAAAATTTTATTAGAGGCTTTTTGCCTGATATGCTAACCAAATTGTTTCGAAGACCCGACCAATTTCACTGTGTGTGAATTGTACTTGGATTGAAAGAAAAGCACTAAATTTTTTAAGGTAAACTTCCAGTTTTTTTTTATCTCTTTTATTCTCATAAAAGAATTAATTGCTGGTTGTCGATCTGTTAAGTCTGTTAAATTCAAACTTCTTATTTGTATCGTCATAGTTTGTAAAGAGTATTTTGATTTGACATGATGATTAGATAAGTTTTTTGTTTTTATGTAGATAAATTTTTCTTCGGCTTATGATAGAATTCTTAAT